GTACTGTGTGGTGATCCTAACCTTTTGCCGACATGACAGAGACCGAGCGCTGCCTCCTGGTCAGTTAAGCCCAATTAAAGGAATGTCTTTAAGGCAGTGGCATTACTAGAAACTTAAGGGCCTCAGTGCAAGAAACCATGATGGGCTCCCCTAAGCCCCAGTGGGACCCTTCTCTCCGACGCCAGCCCCCTGGCACAAATGCAACCTTTGTGACCCTTATGGTTCTGCTGCTGGTGTCAGTAATTTTTTTATTTTTGTTATCTTATTTTTACTTTTTTTAACCATTTAGTTATTTTTTACAATATTATTTTTTGTATTTTTTTGTATTTTTAGGAGCCCCTTTGGGGGAGGGGGAGGGAGGTTTTGGTGAGCTATCAGGGGTCTAAACAGACCTTCGTGACCCTTATGGTTGTGCTGCTGGTGTCAGTAGGTTTTTTTAATTTTTCTTATTTTTCACATTTTTTTTATTTTTAGGAGCCCCTTTGGGGGGGAGGGGGGCTTTGGTGAGCTATCAGGGGTCTAAACAGACGTTCCATTTTTGAGACAGAGAAAGGAGATTGAGGACACAGCCCTCAATCTCCTTCTCTGCATTCTCAGCAGCACAGAATGAATGGACAGCAATATCTCTATACAGAGCTTCCCCTCCTTATTTACTATGTTTCAGTTATGAATGGACAGAGTCAGTGATCAGTACCAATCACTGACTGTTCATTCAGAAAAAGGAAGGGGTGGGAAAATTACACATCTACGGTCCCTTCCGCACTCTCCATCAGATCCCCCACAGCAGCTGGCAGGAAAGGGGAATGAGGGGGGCCAGAAAAGAGCAGGGTCTGGGGAGCACAGGCGTTGGAGAGAATGGGGGTCCAGAGAGCATGGGGGGCAGCTGAGAGAAGCTGGATAGGAGGAGAGTGCATACAGATGAATTGATCTTTCCAGGAGAAGCTGACTTTTACCGACTGCAGGAGGAACATGGAAAAAGCAGTTCCTCTGTATGCAGTCACTACCGCTGCTCCTCCTAACCAGGCGTACAGGAGGGCCACACGGGCCAGCTTGGGGCCAGGTTACCATTGCGACCCCAGTAGGTACGCCGCTGCTTTAAGGGGTTAAAGAAGATTGTACAATCAGATTGTAATGTGCGTGATCAGCATAACCTATTGGCGAGCACATAACAAACATACATAGCAGCAAGGACAGTGCACTTGACTGCGGCAACCTGAGCTTTTATGCTGCAAATGCGTTCACTGTGCACTCCCAGCGCACTGACCGAGCTCTCACTGCCAGCTCTGAATCATGGTTTTTGATAGGGAGCTAGCAGGATGGAGAGCCAATCACAGTGGTCACATGACAGAGAAGTTGTACTGCCTCCCAGGCATTCAAGTCCACTTAGAGGGCTGCCTTTAGGCTAGGTGCACACCTAACGCACGTTTTTGCACTTTTTTTTTGCGCATTTTCCCACTATACTCATAGGGCAGCCCATTCATTTCCTATCCTAACAATGAATGGCACCGCAAACGCAACACACATTTCATGTAAAGCTCAGCCTCACAGGGGTAGTGAACTCCACTTTATCGCTTACAATATAGCGTACCTGTAGGTACAATAAATATCTGTTACATACAGGGGCGGACTGACCATTTGGAAACTCAGGCACTTGCCGAGGGCCCGGAGTCAGTAGGGGGCCCCATGAGATGCCCCTGGTACCTTTTTCATAGGCTTATTTGAGTTTGGGCAAGGACACAGGGGCCCAATGATCCCCTATTGCCCGGGGGCCCCATGAGTTGTCAGTCCGACCCTGGCTAAATATGTGCCGTTTATGAGACATGTTCTGAGGCCGGTGATGTCACTGACGCATGTGCACTCCGTGCCGCAATCATGACGTACGCATATGTGGGAGTGACATCATCACAGGTGAACCATTCAAACGGAACATGGAAGGAAGACCAGGTGAAGAAGGAAGCCCTGGAAGTGCACCGCTGGAGGGATCCGTTTTACAGGTAACTCTGTCATATTGTACTAGTATGCGATGAATAGTAGCATGTTATTCCATTAACTAAAGGGGGAGGAGAGAAGTTTTGTTTCGTTTTTTAGTTTTAGAACCTACTACTTTAGTGCCTGGTCATACCTAGTGCGGTTTTGCCTTTTGATGCGAGTTTCAAAGTGCATGGCAAGTCGCACCTTATTGTCCGCAATTAAAGCGGTCATATCGGTGCAACTCTGACTTGGTCGGAGTCACACGGATTTTGAAAGTAGTGCTTGCACTACTTCAGGTGTGACCAGGGCCAGGGCTTCCACTAGGCAAACTAGGCAGCCGCCGAGGGATCACTGCGCAGCACCGGCCGGCACTCTTTGTGTGGGACGCTGCCATGTCATGAATGATCCTTCAGCTGAGAGGAGGGGCGACAGAGGGGAGGAAGAAAGAACAGAGGAAGATGCCGGGTGTCTGGAGCTAGTGTAGCAGCTGAGCTGCCGCTCCTTCCGGTGTTCCTCTCGGACGCGGTCCCTTACTGCAAGCCGGCTGGCGGCTGCTGATCACTGTAGAGTTCCAGCCCTTCCCATTTATCAGTGGAGGCGGAGCTGCACCTGTGGAGGAAGGTGATGTCTGACTCTGATGTCTCGTGTCTGTGTGAGTGTGACTCGGCTGGCTATCCCATCCATCACATGTGCAATATATCGGTGAGTGATGACATCATCATGATCCCACAGCCTGCTGTTCTAGTGCCTGCTGATCTGTGTCAGTGCTGGTGGTGGTGTGTTGTGTCGGATCTGTCACTGTGTGGGATCACTCAATTCAGCTGCCTGCTGTCACAGCGGTTTACCTCCCCCATTGCCTGGAGAATTCCAGCCTGGGATCTGTCAGATTGTGGATCCATCATCCTCCACTCACTGCAACTGTCACCCTGCCACTGCCAGCCACAGATACAGTCCGTCCGTGACACTGATTTTGTTTTTAACCACTAGCCTACAGGGCACTTATACGCCCTTCCTGCCCAGGCCAATTTCCAGCTTTCAGTGCTGTCGCACTGAATGACAATTGCGCGGTAAAACACTGTACCCATATGAAATTTTTATCATTTTTTTTAGACAGAGCTTTATTTTGGTGGTATTTAATCACCTCGGGTTTATTTTTTTCTTAAACAAACCAAAAACCACTGAAAATTTTGAAGAAAAAATGTTTTTTGTTAGTTTTTGTTATAAAATTTTGTAAATAAGTGATTTTTTTTCTCCTTCACTGATGTGCGCTAATGAGGCCGCAGTGATGGGCACTGATAGGTGGCACTGATGAGGAGGCACTGGTAGGTGGCACTGATGGGCATTGACAGGCATCACTGATGGGCACTGAAAGGCAGCACTGATACATGGCACTGACATATGGCATTGGTAGGCGGCACTGACTGGCACTGTTAGGCGGGCACTGACTGGCACTGTTAGGTGGCACTGACTGGCACTGTTAGGCGGCACTGATTGGCATTGATGGGTGACACTGAAAGGCAGTTCAGATGGGCACTGATATGTGGCATTGATGTGCACTGGTAGGCACTGATATGTGGCACTGATGGACACTGACAGGTGGCACTGCTGGGGCTACACTGATCATCAGGGCACACTGATCATCAGTGTCCTGATGATCAGTGTATATGTCCCCTCCGTGGAAAGCCGATTACCGGCTCTCCTCTCGAGCTGTCAGCGTGACAGCTCGAGAGGAGAGAAATGCCGATAACCGGCATTTCCCTGTTTACATGTGATCAGCTGTGATTGGACACAGCTGATCACATGACCAAGCCGACATCTTTGGCTCTTTCCGTGATCGGTGATCCGCTGTGTCCAAGGGACACAGCGCACCGCCAATCGCCGCGCTGCGCACTCCCTGAGCCCGCGCATGCGCAGTGAGAATAGGAGGACGTCATATGACGTCCTCCCAGAACGAGAGAACCACCTTGTGTCCGTCATATTACTATATGGTGGGCGGGAGGTGGTTAATATTGGTGCTGGTGGCATCTTATAGCACTTATTTTTGCAAAGTAAAAGAAATGTAGCAGTTTCATGTTTTGTTGATTTAATATTTTCTACTTTTACATTTTTTTTTTTTTGGGGGGGGGGGCGCAAGTGGTTGGCCTTGCCTAGGGAGCAAAATAGTCTAGCACCAGCCCTGGGTGTGACTTGCATAGACATCTGTGTCTTGCAAGCCGCAAATCGCACCTGAAGTTGGAATGACATCCGACTTTGAAATCACGTGACTTCACTGGAAAACGCACGATTTCAAAGTCGTATCAGTGTGATCGGGGACTTAAGGGGTTAAAGACGAATGTACAATCAGATTGCATAGTGTATGACCAGCTTAAATGTCACCAGGGGCGGACTTACCATTTGGAAACTCAGGCACTGCCCGAGGGCCCGGGGTCAGTAGGGGGCCCCATGAGATGCCCCTGGTACCTTTTTTCATAGTCTTTTTTGAGTTTGGGCAAGGACACAGGGGCCCCATGATCCCCTATTGCCTGGGGGCCCCAGGAGTTGTCAGTCTGCCCCTGAATGTCACCCAGTTTTTATTCCTAGATATACTTTTTATTTTTAAATACATTTTACCAAGTAGTTCAAAGCGTGCTGGGATCTGGGGATTGATGACACAACCGGCCAGTCTAGAAAATGAAGGTGAATTGAAAGGACAGCCAATTCGGGGAGAGTTCTTTAAAAGCAGGACTTTCCCGAGAACGGGAGGCGGTGGGCAGGGAAGGGGCTCTGTTTAGCCCATGGAGATGGCAGATACAATGTGTCAGAGCTGCAGCTGTTGGTCTCAGGACACAGCCAAGGATCCAGTTTCCCATTTTGCAATAACAAAGCTGCAGCATAAACAAAGCCACGTGTCAGCGGAGGGGAGGGGCCAGCACTTCCGGCAACAAAGGCTGCGCTATATATAGCCCAGCTCAGGCTGAGAACACTAGACTGAAAACACTGGGAGAGCTGACTACACCAGGGACACAGACCGTCAGCTGATCCCGGAGACAATGCCCTTCCTAGGACAGGACTGGAGGTCCCCCGGGCAGAGCTGGGTGAAGACGGAGGATGGATGGAAGAGATTTCTGGATGAACACAGCAATTACGTCAGCGACATCAACAGGTGAGACGAGCGAACCGGCTGCTGGTGGACTACAAGTGTCAGCCAGCACTGCCGGGCATTTAAAGTTACAAAATGTTTTATTTAAAACGATGCTGAAAAAATCTTTGAAGATCAGCGATGAGATGGGGGCATGGACAGCCAAGGACATTTCCAGGGACAAATGTTTGTATCGCTGTCCCTGGAAATCGAGGACCATTTTACAGAGACGTGATCGATTCTGCGGTCCGTAGACCCCTAAACCGTTGTTTGTATAAGGCTCTCCATACACACTTAGATTTCTTTTGTTCAGCCCAGACAGATTCCTCCATCCACCCTATACAGGGGGCATGGACGGATCTCCCCTGTTGACTATTGCATTCTGACAGCTGGCCCCTGCACTGCTCAGAATACCCAAACAGCAGCTGCTTCTGATTGGATACAGGAGCTGTTCATCTGACAATTTTCAACCTGTCTTCTTGTGTTCAGCCCAGACAGATTCCTCCATCCACCCTATACAGGGGGAATGGACGGATCTCCCCTGCGGCTATTGCATTCTGACAGCTGGCCCCTGCACTGGTCAGAATACCCAAACAGCGGTTGCTTCTGATTGGATACAGAAGCTGTTCGTCTAACAATTTTCTACCTGTCTCCTTTGGCAAAAATCGATATAAACAATCAACTTTTTGCTGGTGGGGGGGGGGGGGGTGCGACCCAACGTTCCAATTGTAGCCCAAATTGGACTGAGATCTGAGCTGTGTATGGCAGCCGTAGCCCAAGCTATTGTTTGTACACCGTGCCAAGGAATTCCGGAACATTAATTTTCCGGACCAATGTTTACAGCGTGATGTTCCCGTCACAATTAACCTCCTGGAGGGACTTGTTAGTTCAATTAAAACTGTCTGCACTGCAGCAGCCAATCGGATTCAGGCATTCTTGCTGATATCCAGGATATGTTTGGTTGCATTAGGGGAACACAGACTGTCCTTGTTTCTGGGGATTTGATATATACAGTGTGAGCCAGGGGCGGACTGACAACTCATGGGGCCCCCCGGGCAATAGGGGATCATGGGGCCCCTTGTGTCCTTACCCAAACTCAAAAAAGCCTATGAAAAAGGTACCAAGGGCATCTCATGGGGCCCCCTACTGACCCCGGGCCCTCGGGCAGTGCCCGAGTTTCCAAATGGTCAGTCCGCCCCTGGTGTGAGCCGAATAATGTCAAGGATCTGTTTATACGCGGGGCCACAATGACAACGGGGCAACGGGGCCCGAGTTTCCAAATGGTCAGTCTGCCCCTGGTGTGAGCCGAATAATGTCAAGGATCTGTTTATACGCGGGGCCACAATGACAACGGGGCACTGCAGACCCAGAACACCGCAGCTGCAAGATGGTGATAGGACTGGTAAAGTCTAGGAATGCGTTCATCCAGCCCGAAATTGCATCCACGTTTAGTCGCACTAGATGGACTTGTGTATTATTTTCAGCCTAAATCTTCCGTCACACTGAATCCGAAAGTCGAACGCCGAATCCGACTTTGAAATTGTGCGACTTCACTTGAATTCGCACGATTTCAAAGTCGAGTGTCAGCCTGACTTCAGGTGCGACTTGGAAGACATCTATGCGACTTTATGTACAGATGTCTATGCAAGTCGCATCTGAACTTGAAAAAAGTAGTGCATGAAGTACTCTCAAAATCAGAGTCGGAGTCGCTCCCAGGGGCGGACTGAACATTTGGAAACTCGGGCGCTGCAAGGCAGAAGAGCTAACCATTTATCCACTGGTGAACTCAGGCTACTGTGCGTTACCATGCGCCATTGTTCTGTGCGCTGCCTTATTAATAAGTAATCGAAGAAATGGAATGTTCTAGGCTCATCATTACTGTACAAGTTATACAATAACAATGCACCTGCCATCAATACAGGGCGCCTGGAAAGGTTTGCATTGTTGTGGAAGAAGCCTGTGTGTCACCCCCTGCGCTGTCTGCCCCTCAAAGTATAATTTTAGTTTTGGATTGAGTAGAGGGATGCGAACCCTTGCCAGGTTGTTATTGCGCTCAGCACCCCCGTTGGGAAGATGCACCCTCTTTGTCCTGGTGACCATTGTCATCAAGAGTGAAAGAAAATCCCACATTTTGTGTTGTCACCAGAACAGGACTAGAGGGGGAAATCATCCAATGGGACACTAGTTCTGGGCTTCTCTCACTTTGGAGTGATTTCCTCTCCCTTCCTGTTTTGGCTATGGGATAGGAAGTGAAGGGAAATCTCCCCAATGGGACACAGATGGCAAAGTTGGCAGAGGTTCTAACCCAAATCCAAAAAATAACATTTTGCCACTTTAAAGCGGAGTTCCACCTAAAATTAAAAAGAAAAGTCAGCAGCTACAAAAACTGTATCTTCTGACTTTTAAAATACAGCCACTTACCTGTCCCTCGGTCCAGCGGTGTCCTCGCCACCGTTGGTTTCACCGGCCGTCTTCTCTCCCTGGCGCCGGCATCTTCAGTGTGGGCACCCGGCTGTGACAGGTACCCACTGCGCATGCTCGAGAAGTGCTGCGCTTTGTGAATGGTCCTGTAGTCTTCTGGGACCTGTCACAGGGAGGGAGGGGGAAGGACAACGTCCGCTTCTGATCGCCTCACAATTGTAGCGAAAGTGGGAGCGGGTACCTGTCAAATTCGGGTAGCCGCTCCCCCCCCCCCCCCCCCCACACCCCAAAGGTGCCAATCCTTAATGGGGAGCGGGGGACAAAGGCTTTAAAGCAGAACTTCCCCTTTTGGGTGGAGCTCTGCTTTAAGGTTACATTTACACGCGCCTCCTGTGTTTCGTGGTACAAAGAAAAAAAAAGTAAACAGTTGCTATAGAAAAGGCAAAAATTTACTACTGCAGCTAAACGCAGGGGCATGTAAACGCACGTAATAGCAGATAAACGCAATGTACAAATGTGAGTGATTTCTGTGGCAGGAGTGTTGCACCTTCAAAATTAAAAAAAAAACATGCATTTACAGTACATGAGGCAGAACAACCGTCCGTGTGAAAGACGCCTAAATGTTATACTTCTTTGTTCAGGTTCTGTTGCATTGTATGTGTTTGCGTTTACGTGCGTTTAGACGCATCAGGAGTATCTACTGTAATCAGGGAATGGATGCACAGAATTCTATTTTCTCTGAATAGCCCAATAGTTATAATACAGTAAAAAATATAAAAAATCATTATATAAATTTGGAAATGTCCTATAGTGTCAGATTTGCCCATGGCAATGTGAATGAGGCCCATACACGGGCGGCGCAGGCCCGCAATGTGAATGAGGCCCATACACGGGCGGCGCAGGCCGCAATGTGAAGGAGGCCCATGCGCAGGCCCGCAATGTGAATGAGGACCATACGCAGGCGGCGCAGGCCCGCAATGTGAATGAGGACCATACGCAGGCGGCGCAGGCCCGCAATGTGAATGAGGACCATACGCAGGCGGCGCAGGCCCGCAATGTGAATGAGGACCATACGCAGGCGGCGCAGGCCCGCAATGTGAATGAGGACCATACACAGGCGGCGCAGGCCCGCAATGTGAATGAGGACCACCATACACAGGCGGCGCAGGCCCGCAATGTGAATGAGGACCACCATACACAGGCGGCGCAGGCCCGCAATGTGAATGAGGACCATACACAGGCGGTGCAGGCCCGTAATGACAATGAGGACCATAGACAGGCGGCATTGGCTCGCACTGTGAATGAAGACCATGTGCAGGCCCGCAGTGTGAATGAGGACCATACACAGGCGGCGCAGGCCCGCAGTGTGAATGAGGACCATACACAGGCGGCGCAGGCCCGCAATGTGAATGAGGACCATATGCAGGCCCGCAATGTGAATGAGGACCATACACAGGCGGCACTGGTTTGCATTGTGAATGAGGATCATGCGCAGGCCCGCAATGTGAATGAGGACCATACACAGATGGCATAGGCCCGTGATGCAGCACTTTCCCAGTCACGAGATCTTGTAAACACAGGCCCGGCTCATGGAGCTATCTAGACATCCAGTTGCCTGTGTGTGTGATCTGAGCTGGCTTGGAATGGCGTGTTATTTTTGTTCTCTTGTGGCAGGCATGTGACCCGCAGTCCCGTGTTCCCTCCGGCAGATGGCGCCGTGCTCGGCCCTGGCAGGGGGCCCGGATTATGGCGGGGATCAGAACAGATCTGGATGACATTGCCCAGAATCTCTTGGCAGCTGTTACTGAACTGTGTACTCAGGATTGTAGAAGAGCTCTGTGTGTGTGTGTTGATGGCACACCAGGGCTTTAAAGGGGATCTGTCCCCGATCAAAGATTTCACTGACGCGCAGCAGTTCACCGACATGATAAAAATGACGCTTTATTGCTGAACTTTACTTTATATTGCAGGTGATGTACACCTGAAAGTGGAAACTAGTTTTAGTTGGCCGCTAAGGCTCCATGTACACATACGCAGGTGCATGTGCGTTTTGGTGCGTCACATTTTATGCGTGAAAATCACACAAAAGAAGTGCTAGCACTTTTTTTTTTTTTTTTTTTTTTTAATTTTGTAGTGCACCAATTTTAATGGTACTTTGTTACCATGCATTCTGATGCACCTATGGAACCACCTGCCTGGAGTTTGCATGTTCTCTCTGTGCCTGTGTGGGTTTCCTCCTGGTACTCCGGTTTCCTCCCACACTCTAAAGACATGCTGGTAGGTGAATTGGCTCCTGTCTAAATTGGTCCCTAGTATGTGTATGTATGAATGTGAGTTAGGGACCTTAGATTGTATGCTCCTTGAGAGTTAGGAACTGATATGTATGTATGTAAAGTGCTGCATAAATTGACGGCGCTATATAAGTACCTGTAATAAATATTGATGCAAGTTGCGTTGGGTTGGCCATTAAAAATTAATTACACCTCAGCATGCCTGTTGAAAAAAAATGTGCCCTGCAGGAATGCATAGAGTTTTTTTTTTGCTTTCACCTGCGTTGTACAAGTGCAAACTGAGCCTAGGGCCTCATTCACATTGGCAATGAC